TCAGAAGTATCACGGTGACCCATCCCACATGTTAGATTTTAGCACTGTCCAGCTGGACAAGGATTTGATCTACGAGAAGGAGTCGGTAGCTATTCTAGACTGGCAGGTTCGTTGGTTGAGGTCGAAGAGTTATCCATCAATTCGTGTACAGTGGAGAGGTCAACCTGTTGAAGCAGCTACCTGGGAGTCCGAGTCCGATATGCGGAGCAAATATCCCCATCTTTTCCCTAGCTCAAGTACTTTTCTATGTCCGTTTGAGGATGAACAATTGTTTTAGAGGTAGAGAATGTGATGACCCAAAAGGTCATCTCGCATTTTAGAACCCAATTCGGTGTTCCGAGGCTTCAAAAACTCATCTTATTCCTCCTCGATTTGCGTGCGCAGCCTGGATGCATTTTCGGAAAGACTTTATATGAAAATTTGAGAAAATAATAATTTTTGCCATTAAAAGTGATTTTAGTTGACTTCGGCCAAAATTTTGAATGAACGGACCCAAACCCGTATTTTGACGGTTCCGGAGGATCCGTAGTAAAATATGGGACTTGGGCGTACGCCCGAAATTACTGGGTCCCTAGCCCGAGTAATAAATTTTGTTAAAAACTATTAAATTGGAAATCTAAGGATTTGAAGAAATTCAATAATGGTTTATCTTGTTGGTATCGGGTCCGTATTTTGGTTTCAGATCCCGGTACAGGTTTATTATGGTATTTAAGTCATATTTGTGAAATTTGATGAGAAACGTGACTGATTTGACGTGATTCGGACGTCCGACTGTGAAAATAAGAATTTTTAGTGTTCTTAAGGATCTCATGCAATTCGGTACTAAATTTGTAGTTCTAGATGTTATTTTGGCTATTTGATCGCCCGAGCAAGTCCATATGATGTGTTAAGACTTGTGTGCGTGTTTAGTTTGGAGGTCCGAGGGCTCGGATAAGTTTCGGGTAGGCTATGGGATGTTTTAGACTTAAAAACCTTGGTGTTGGATAGTTGGAGAAATTGCAGGTCCCAGATCCTAGGAGCTTGGCCGCAGAATGAAATTTCACGGACCGCGGTAGAGTAAGGCTCAAGTTCGCGGCCGCATCATTAATTTCGTGGACCGTAGTGGGGTTCGCGACCATGCCCGGAATTTTGCGGACCGCGTTATATAGATAAGAGGGGTGCTATATAAACGGGATTTTTCATTCATTTTTTAATTTTTCAAACCCTAAATCATAAGAGGCGATTTTCAAAACACTTCTTCTTCCCCAAATCATAAGTAAGTAATTCTTAACTTATTTCTTTCACTCTTTTACTTCTTTTTACAAGATTTCATCTTAGAATCTAGGGTTTTCATGGTGGAATAGAGGATTTTGGATAGAACTTAGGAATTTCAAAATTTGGGGATTTAGACCTCAAATTGAGGCGAGATTCCAAAACCAATTGTATATCCAGGCTCGAGGGTGAATCGATAATCGAATTTTGGTTCGAATTTTGGGTTTGGACCAAGGGGGCCTGGTGTTGACTATTGTTGACTTTTTAAAAAACGACCTAAATTGAATTTCTTGCTATCGTGGGTAGTTCCTAAGGCTTAAATTGAATCGTTTGGTTGGTAATTTACTATATTCTCTTGGTCCGGAGGCTTGTGTGAAGGGAAAAGATGTGTTTGAACACTGAGTGGCCCGCGGAGGCGAGGTAAGTGTTGTGGCTAATCTTAGCTTGATGGATTAGGTATTGTTATCTTATTTGCTATGTGTTTGGTTGTTGAGTACGATGTATATGTAAGGTGACGAGTACCTATACGTTGTTGTCGGGTCTTAGCATGCGAGTGAGTCTTATCCTTGTGAATGTTGTATTCTTTATTCGTACTGATCATGCTTAAACTAGTTATTCTTCATGTTAAACAAATCTTAGCATGTTTTCCTAGAATTTGATAATGGTTGAGTATTGATTCAAATTGAGATTTATATTGTGAAGTTAAACATTGAAACGAGGTTGGTTATTGATAATTCCTTTGTCGGGTTGATATTGTTCCGTTGTTCGGGTGAGGAAGAGTGTAAAGCACGAAGGATGATGTTGTGCAATGTTTTGTGAGTGAGTTTTAATGTACAAAGGGTGATGCCATGCCATATTCTGTGAGTATTAATGCACGAAGGGTGATGTCGTGCCATATTCTGTGAGTGTTAATGCACAAAGGGTGATGTCGTGCCATATTCTGAGAGTGTTAATGCATGAAGGGTGATGTTGTGCCATGTTATAAGAGATTTAATGCACGAAGGGTGATGCTGTGCCATTTCTATTGTTCTTATGGTAAGGACGAGAGTAAAAGCACGAAGGATGATGTCGTGCACATGTTTGCTTGTTATTACTTCCGTTGGTGCAAAGCATGATATTTACTGCATTTTTTTACTGTTTTATTTTCAGGATTTGATATTTTCTCTCAGCGTGTTTTCCCCTACCCATTATTATCTGCTAAATTTTCGTTTGTTGTTATTTTCTCGTATATGATTTAACTGTGCAAGATCATGTCATTGTCGTTCCTAGCCTCGTCACTACTTCGCCGAGGTTAGGCTTGGCACTTACCACTACATAAGATCGGTTGTACTGATAGTGCACTCTACACTGTCTGTGCAGATTGCGGTACCGGTCCTCGTTGATCAGAGTTGGGTTGCTGCCTTCAGTCCATAAGGAGACCCAAGGTAGATCTGCCGGCATTCGTAGACCCTGGAGTCCTCTTGCATATATCCTAGTTTCCCTATTTTCTTGTACTTCAAGAATAGATGTATTTCCTTTAAATCAGTATTTGTAGTAACTCTTAGAAGCTCGTGGATTGTGACACCAGATTTTAGGTAGTCGTGTAATAGTGTTTAGTCTATTATAAATTTTTGCACTTCTTACTTTGTTTTGGTTCAAATTATTGTTATTTACTATTTTGAACAGTGATTAGCTTGTTAGATCTTTATCTGTTGGCTTGCCTAGCATTCTAAGAGTTAGGTGCCATCACGATCTCGATGGTGGAAAATCCAGGTCGTGACAATATGTCACAAAAATATTTAACTAAATTTAATTTTGATATACCGTTTTAACTTTCAAATTAATTTTTTTCTAAATGGTTTTCCACCAACTACATAAACTACAAATAGCTGGCACATGTACAATATATGTATAAAATTTATGTATATCCAATTGAAAAAAATAAATAGTGAATCCGGTCGGCTTGCCGTGTAAAGATTAATTTTAAAATATATTTTATATTAAACAAAATTTTACTTCAATTATTTTTTTAATATTTAAGACTTTAAAATCAACTGCAATTTATAATTCAAAAAATATTGGTTGGATTTTATTTTATGCGATCATAAATTGTTCTTTTTTAATTTGTCAAAAATAATTCATATAATATTTCCTATTAATTAAAGAAAAATAGAATGTTTTCTTTTATTTAGATAACATGTTTTTGTCTTTTAGAATAAATTTGAAAATCACCAGCACAAAAAAAAATTGAAATAGATTTTTTTTCAAATAAAAAAACTAAATCGTCTAAGGTTACGCGTTCTTGGTGAAACTGAAAAGGAAATTGAGGTGATGAAATTATAAAGCTGGAAATGAGCTTAAGGTGAATATATAAATTGGCAATACGGGAATTCTACAAGACATATTTTCTTCATTTGTTGAGTTATTTATATTGAATCAATATTTATCAATTTCAGGAGTTTAAAATTTATTTTATAATTCAAATATAATTTTAATATATTATTTATATTTTTTTAAATAATAATCCATTGAATTGGGATACACGCGCAAAGCGCGTACCCTAAGACTAGTATATATTAACATACATACGTATTCAACCAAAAATAGTGATTTTAGTTGAACTAGCTGAACTCGCCCTAAATTCACCTCTCTGTTAAACTATGGAAGCCCAAGATTGCAAATGGAATAAGAAGCGAACAAAGGGAAGACAAATTTTGATCTCTTCATTAAATTGCAGGGAAGTCCACAAATATTGTTGATTCAAATATAAATACACTACGGCAGAGAATAGAGCTATTAAGGAAGAAAGAGAAGTTGATCAACATAGCATACACACGTGAAAATGGTTGGAATTATATACTGGAGTACGACGACAAATGCAAGAAACCTTCCTTGGTATTTCAGTTGGTTGAGCTCGTAGGTTTAGCAGGCAGCAATATAGGATTTGTTTTCCTAAGTGGTTCTTTCTGCATTTTTCTTGTTTCCCTTATTGTCCATAATATGCATATCTAACATGCATGAAATCGTAGGAAATTGGAAAAGACAATTTGAACGATGACTTTCTCTACATCTAGATGTATATCTGTGTGACTAATCCGTTTACCATGTTTTCAAATCCAACTAGCTACTCTCATCGTCTTATGAAATTTATGAATAAAAGAATGATTTTTGAAACTTTGATAATATTAAATAGGAGTATACCATAATATTTGTGTAGCTAGTTATACCACTTTTGAAACTTGATCTTATATAGACTATAACATTTATAAAAACAAAATACGGATACAAGGAGAAATTCAAGTTAATTTTTTAAAACGTAGAAGTGTGACATTCCTTTTATAACGAACAAATAAGAAAATAGTTTCACTTTTTTTCGAATCGAGAAAGTATCTTATATACTCAAAAGTTTTGGGATTTTACTCGAAAACTGTAAAACTCAGGTGCTCATCTCGCTCAAGCTCGAGGTGAGCTACAATGGAGATGGGAGAGAGATAGAGTCTGCATGACGAAGAGAGAGAAGAAAGAAAGATCTAGAATGGGCCAACCGACCTTTTCTTAAATCTGAGGCATCATTATATACAAAATGTCCTAACCAAAATGAATTAACAAAATAGCCTATCTAACAAATTAGCTAACTAACCACTTTACAAATATGTAGTCACTTTTACATAATTATCCATCTCAACACCCACCCCCCCCCTCAAGTTGGTGGTATAGCAAACACTGCCAACTTATATAAAGTTGTTGAGTGCTTGACTCCCATTAATGCTTTAGTTAAAATATCTGCAAGTTCCCACATGTTGCAATGAAATACCTTCTTGTAGCTTGCTTCTAACAAAGTGACAATCCACCTCTATGCGTTTGGTTCTTTCATGGAACAGTGGGTTTCTTGCTATATGCATGGTAGATTGGCCATCATAAAATACTGTAATGGGTTTAGGAAAAGGAGTTGTGAGCTCCTTAAACAGCCTACCAAGCCACACTAATTCCCGCACTACCTTCCTTAGAGCTTTATACTCAACTTCTGCAGAGGATAATGAAATGGTGTCTTGTTTCTTCGATTTCCAGCTGATAGGGTTATTCCCTAAAAGTACAAGGTACCCACTCAGAGATTTTCGAAAATCTGGGCATGCAACCCAGTCAGAATCACAGTAGGCCTTGATAGTATAGTCTGCATCCTTGGATAGGAAAATCCCCAGAGTTGGGTCCGCCTTCAAATATCTGAGAAGATGAAAAGCTACTTTCAAGTGAGGTTGTCTAGGGTCATCCATGAACTGGCTCAGATTCTGTACACTGTAAGTTATATCCAATCAAGTATTTGTGAGGAAGTTAAGCTTTACTACTAATTTTATATAGCAGGTAGGATCATTCAGAACATCTCCTTCCTTTGCACGGAGTTTGATTGTTGGATCTAGTGGTGAAGCAAAGCTGTTATGATCCATACATTGATATTCTTTGAGCAAGTCAAGGGTGAACTTCCTCTTAGATATTATCACACCATCACCTTTGTAAAGAACTTCTAGTCCCAGAAAATAGTGCAACCTACCCAAATCTTTTATCTTGAAGCTGTCATTCAGAAAAGTTTTTAATTCCTCAATCTCCATTGTGTCAGTTCCTGTCACCACAATTTCATCTACATAAACTGCTATATATATAGTTGAGTTTTTAGTTTTCTTGTAAAATAAAGAGTAGTCATACATAGAGTGTGCATAACCCCTTGAACATAAGGCTTCAATGAGCTTGGCATACATTGCCTACTGGCTTGTTTCAGCCCATAAAGTGACTTGTTGAGTTTGCAAACAAACTCTGGATTATCTACTGCTAAGCCTGAGGAACCTACATGTAGACTTATTCATTTAGGTCACCATGTAGGAAGGCATTATTCACATCCAATTGGGACATATGCCACCCTTTCTTCACAGCAACAACTATTAGAGACCTCACAGTAGTCATCTTAACTACAGGAGAGAATGTCTCTGTATAGTCAATACCTACTTGTTGAGTATATTCTTTCACAACTAACCTAGACTGTATAGTCAATACCTACTTGTTGAGTATATTCTTTCACAACTAACCTAGACTGTATAGTCAATACATACTTGTTGAGTATATTCTTTCACAACTAACCTAGCTTTGAGTCTTTCTACACTCTCATTTACTTTGTGTTTTATCTTATATACCCATTTACATCGTATTGTATTATTCCCAGCAGGAAGGGGAACTAGGTCCCAAGTATGATTTGCATGTAGTGCTTCAAACTCTTGGTTCATAGCTGATTGCTAGGTAGGATTCATAGTTGCCTCTTTATATGATGAAGGCTCACTATCACTGCAAATGTCCCTTACAAGACTTTGACTTACAGGAATCAAAGTATCAGGAGAAACATGGTGACTCTTGAAAAATGCAACATTAGGAGAGAATGGTGTAGTTGAGTTACACTGATTAGCAGGGGATGGTGACTTCAATTTTGGAAGTGAGTGTAGGTAATCTTGTAAATATAGTGGCATTTTGAGAGGTCTTTGTGATTTCCTTTGGGTAATGGAGGTCTGGTCTGGTTGATCCCCAACAGGTGATGTGTTGTGGTTTGAATATTGTGGTGTGTCAAATTGTCGTTAGGAGGGAGAATGTTCTGATGACATGGAAGGTCTGGAAGGTGTTAAAGGAATATCATGTTCTAAAAGCTGGTTGTATGCAATGCTTGTGCCATTATCTCTAACATAGAGATGTCTATCATTCTAAGGAGAATAATCATTGAGGGGAATAGGATTATTGAAGACAGAAGGGAAAGATGCAGTTTCAGATGTTAGAGTAAATGGAAATACACTTTCAATGAAGACAACATCCCTGGAGATATGTATCTTTTTAGTGGCAAGACTTAGGAACTTGTACCCTTTGACTCCTTAAAGATAACCAATGAATACATGTGGTGGTGTTCTGGGTTCAAATTTGTCCCTATGCACCTTAAGTACAGAGGGATAACACAGATACCCAAAACTTTTCATGTGGGAGTATGTTGGTTTTCTTTTGTAAATGAGTTCAAATGGGGATTTAGGGTGACTATGAGAAGAGGATAGCCTATTTATGATGTAGGTTGCACACATTACATATTTACGCCAGTACTTCACATATTATTTTGATTGGAAAAAAGGGCTCTAGCAGTTTTCAAGAGGTATTTATGTTTTCTTTTTACTATACCATTCTATTGTGGTGTGTAGGGGCAACTCCTTTGATGGATGATGCCTTTGGATTGAAATAGGTTTCCTTTTGTACTAGTGAATTCTGAACCATTGTCAGATCTGATAGTTTTGATTTTGGTGTTGAATTGAGTCTCAACCATATAGACAAATGTTTTTATAACTTGTAGGGTATTGCTTTTGCAAGTTATATAGTTGGTCCAGGTGCACCTACTGTAATCATAATTATCATGTGTTGTCATATGATAAGGTCCCCATATGTCTATGTGGAGTAATTGAAAAATTTCAGTTGTGAAGTTGGTCTTCTAAGGGAATGGCAGTCTCCCTTGTCTAGCCATTGGACAAATGGAACAGAGGAAAGGTTGTTTGGATGGGAAGGAGACAGGGATAAAGGAGATCCCTCTCATTTTAACAAAGGGTATATGCCTAATCTATTGTGCCACAAAATGTTCATATCATAACCAGTAGATGTACAAGAATTCAAAGCAGAAATAGAACTCTATTTTTTTGCTTGAACTTGGACTATTTACAAGGGGAAGAGATACACACTTACTTGTGGAAATTGGACTATGTACAAATGAATGACCATGACAGTGTGAATTGTGTGTGCAGTGAATCCTATCATTAAGGCAAGAAGCTGAATTGTTGACTACAGAGTTGGTATACCTGCTCCTCATACACTTTGGACAAAGAAAGTACAGACCATTATAGGCCTTACCAATCTCCAAAGGCCTCTTCATTGAAGGGGTCTGCAGAATGCAAAGGTGATCAGTAAAGGCTACTATACTTTTGGGATTAGAACTGGCATTACTCTATGTAAGATGATATCAGGCACAAGTGTTGCACTATCAATTTCTGTTACCTTTACTTTATGGCCATTTAGGAGGACAACTAGAAGAGGGTAAGGTAGTGTCACAATATAGGTAAGGAGGGATTTATTAAAGGTCATATGATTTGTGGCTCCTAAGTCTAATATCCAGGAATCAGTCTTGTTTTTGAAACACTCACAAGTAGGGGTGTCAATGGATATTTAAAAACCGACTAAACCGACCGAACCGAACCAAATTTTAGGTTTCTTTTAATAAAACCGTAGGTTATTATATAAATCTATAATCGTACCGATAATTAGGGTAGATTTTTTATTTTATGAAAATAAACTGAAAAAATATTACCGTACCGAATAAATTTACAATGTGAACAATATATTTATATATTAAGTTTAAAAATAATAAATCATTAAATTTTTTCTTGGGCCTTGGAATTAAGAAACAGTTACAAGACAACAAGTAATTAAACTCAAAATCTTAATTCCCAAACCTATTATGCTACTCATATTGAAACTAAATTATTTCCAGCATGTTCATTAGCAAGACACAAGGTATTATAACGATTATGAGTAGCAAACTACAATATATTGAATATGTTTCCTTTCGTATGATTTTGATTTATCTTTTTAAATATTTAATCTTCTATAGACTTTATTCTTGAATCCCATCTTAGTTAATATTTTCCCACTCATGCAATTTATATTATTTTTGTATTTGCTTAGTTTTTTTACATGTAGAATAGTTGATGGATCTATACTCTAGTCATCTTTCATATTTTCTTAATTTATCACCTTTTAAACTGTAAAAATGTCTAGAGAGTTTTGCTAAGTCATATAAAAGTACATATGTTATTGCATTCTACTTCTACTAGTGACTTTTACATGACATTAAAAAAATTACCGAAAATTTACCGAACCGTACCGATACCGAAGAGAAACCGACATGATTGGGACAGTTTCGAAAAGTCTAATTTTGGTTATACATAACTAAATAACCGAAAAATTATTATGGTACAAATTTTATAAAATAACCGGCCGAACCGAACCATTGACACCCCTACTCATAGGACAATTTACCAAAATCAATATAGGAGGTGCAGACTACTATACCTGCAAAGTTCACATCTCCATTAGTGGAATTGCCAGCATTTATATGTTCTGCTACATTCTCAGTTTTGAAGTGTTGCAACGGGCTCATGATCTATCCATATTGCTCTTTTGACAGGCTGATGTTTTGATCTTTATCCAAGTCAGTGGTTTCCTTTACCTTGTTGCAAGGTGTGTCATTGTGAACATTGGCCACCACCCTTTTTCCTCTGTTGAAGTTCTGACCTCGATTAAAACCTTGGCCCTGATTGAAGCTTTCGTTGGGATTTTTAGTGTGATCGGGCTTTCTGCAGTAGTCACACATGGGTCTTCCCCTACTATAGCCATTGTAATTACCATTGTTGGGTAAGTAATTGGTCCTATAGGCATTTGACCTAGAGCTGGTGGCAGTCAGTGATGTGGGCTCAATGAACAATTGAGTGTTTGTCTTGATTTCTCTCTGCTTCTCGTCTTGTATCAGCAAAGAAAAGGCTTGGGACAAAGTAGGCAATTGATTCATCATCAGGATGCTTCCTCGAATCACAATGTATGTCTCATTCAAACCCATAAGGAACTGAATTAGTCGCCTATCTTGTTCAGCTTTGTAGAGGTTTTCCTTGGCACCACAAGTACAATTGCAGTTGCACTAGGATCTCATGCTCAAAGTACTCAATTCCTCCCAAAGCTTTTTCAGTTTAGTGTAGTAGCTGGTGATATCAAGGGTCTCTTGGGATGTATCATTGATTTTCTTCTGAATTTGATACAATCTAGCTCCATTTGTTTGCTCGTATCGATCCTATAACTCAATCCATAGCTCTACAGCATCATTCGCATATTCAACACTATCCGCGATTTCTTTCAAGAGAGAATTGAGGATACAGGAGGTTACCATATCATCACATCGCTCCCACTGACGGAATCTGGGCGAGTGGGGATCTGGTCGCTTGCATTCATCATTATGAACCCTAGTTTATTTTTGACTGAGAGTCCTCGCAATACACTACGCCACCATGATCGATAGCCAACTCCGCTGTAAGGAGTTGACACAAGCATGGCACCGGGGTTATCTGACCGGTATAGATACAAAGGATCGCTTGTGTCAATTCCAGAATTTCCTTGAATTCCCACATTCACTGTTGTTGTATCTATCTCGTTCAAATCGTCCACAGCCATGAGAAGTTGAAGCTAGATACGCTAGTATTTCACTGTTGGGAGAAGAAGCCTTTGATTAGGCACTTAAATTAGGGCAAATCGAACAGATTTCAGATATCGAACAAAATTAGGGCTAAATCGAGGAAACGATGAACTGAAGAGAGTAGTAGAACAAGAGAGACGATCGTAGTGGGATGGTCGGGCTCTGATATCATGTAAAATTAGGTGCTCACCTCACTCAAGCTTGAGCTGAGCTACAATAGAGATCGGAGAGAGATAGAGTCTGCATGACGAAGAGAGAGAAGAAAGAAAGATCTAGAATGGGCCAACCGACCTTTTCTTAAATCTGAGGCATCATTATATACAAAATGTCCTAACCAAAATGAATTAACAAAATAGCCTATCTA